GTGCCGGCGGGGAAGGGCTCCGTGCTGCCGGGGCGGGCGGGCACCGGGGCTCCCGTCCCGCTGCCAGCCACGGGCGCTGCCCGGTGCTTGGAGCCGAGCCCCGGCTGGGCAGGTGCCGGGATGGGTCCCGGCTTCCCCAGGACCAGGGAGCGCGGATGGGGCCGGGAGGAGGGGGCTGAGCCCAGCTCTGACCCTCTCACCTTCACTCCCTGGATTTGGGGGGCCGCTGGGCTTGTAATCCAACTCCTGCCACCACGGTGCATCCCAGGAGATGCCAGAGGGAGCTGGGGCTCCTCCACATCTGCTGGCCTCACGACCCGGGCTGAGGGGACAGCGGGACTCCCCTGTCACCCTTTGTCCCCTCCGTGCCCATGACCCGGCTCAGCGTGGGGAGCAGGGGCAGCGAGGGGGGCCGGGGGCTCTCCTGCCCTCCCCACGAACCTCAGCCCGTGCAGCAGGCACCCAGCCCAGATCCCCGATTTTCCTGAAGGTGGCAGGTCCGCTCTCAGCCCGCGGTGAAGAGCTCAGCCCAGCGTGGCCGGAGGCTCAGCCTAATCCGTGGTCAGCGCCTCAAAGGCAGCCGCAGCTGCTGCCCTCGGCCCCCCCCCCGTCTCTCTTGAATATTAAACAGCACCTCGTGCCTTTGACTTGGGTGCTGGGGGACCCTTCGGGGCCACGGGAGGCAGCAAACGAGGTCAGCAGGTTGGCTTGGCCGAAGGGGATTAATTAGAACCCTGCTGGGTGCCCTGGTGTGGCAACAGCGCTGGATCCAGCTTGGCACGTCCAGGCAGGCTGGGATAGCCGGCAGCGGCCGCCAGGGAGCTGCAGGGTCTTGCCCTCTTGTCCTTGCACCCTCATGTCCTCGTGCCCTTGACTCGCTGCTGCAGTGGGAATTATTTTAGAAAATGTGCTGCTGGGGCAGAGCAGGGCTCTGGGTGAGCTCCTTTCCCAGGACCTGGGGTGCCCAGGGCGGCACCAGGCGCTGGATCCAGCTGCAGGGGTGGGGTGGGATGGGAAAGACAGACCTGGAGATCTTTGGAAATGCAGCTCCAGGTGAGAGGCAGGATGCTGAGCCAGCAGGTCCCCCCTCCCCCCAGCACCCCGGTGCTGCAGGGAGCCAGCGTCCCTGTCCCTGTGTCCCTGTGCTGTCCTGCAGCCACGGGCACGGCCAGCGCATCCATCCATCCCTCTTCCACTGGTGGATGCAATGGCCCTGGGCACCCAGCTGTGGCCCTGGGCACCCAGCTGTGCCCATGTGGCTGTGCAGCCCCACCCGGGCTGGTCCCAGCCTCCAGCGGTGCTGCCTGTCCCAGACAAGGTCTCATCGCCTTCCGGAAAAATGACACAAACTCTTCCTATCTGTTCTGGAAAGACCTGCTGGGCCGGGGAGAGCAGGATCTGGAGGGTGCACGGCAGGCTGGCAGAAGGGGCAGGCAGCTGCCTGTACCCGGCATTCCCCACCCTGATCCCCCTGGGAAAACCCAACCTGCCGATGCCAGATCCATCCCGCCTGGCTGCTGCAGGATGAGGCCCTCTCCGAGGTGTCCCCCAGGAAAAGCAGCCCTGGGGGGCAGGGAGGTGTCCCCATTCCCGGATGGGGACCTCAACCTCAGCCTGTCCTCGGGCTGACCCCAAATCCCCGTCCCTGCCATTGTCCCCAGCCGGGCAGTGACACCGAACAGCTCCTGCCTGCGAGATCCTGGGACGTGGGTGCACTTCCAGCTCCCTCCCCAGCAGCTGCTGTGTCAGCTGCTTCCCAATCCCAAACCCAGCAATAAAACCCTTCTGGGGCAGGCATGTGGCCACAGCACAGGGATTGTGCTGGCATCACCCCCAGGCTGAGGTGGCACGAGTGTCCCTGCCCCCTGCCCTGAGCCCCGGGGACCAGAGCGATGCCCACCCTGCAGCAGCCAACGCCAGGACGTGGAGCTGTGTGCTGGGGACAATCTCGGATCGGGGGCTGAGCTCTGGACGATTATTCCAGCTCGTTTCCTGGTGCCCGTGGAGCTGCAGAGGTGGGCACTGCAATGCCACCTTTGCCACAGGGAAGGTCAGGGGGTGAAGCTGCTCAGGTCTCCACCTCCTCCTGCGGCCCCAGCAGCTGCCCCAGCCCTGCTCGATCCCAGCCAGGCCCTTTCCCGCACGGAGCAGCTTCCCTGTTGTTTTCTGGGCTTGTTTGTTTGCTGCATTTGCTGACTCGGCGCAGCCCTGCTGCCCGCCTGACTCATCCCACAGCCCGGGGCACGGCACGGCACGGCACGGCCGCATCCTGAACACTCACCCGTGCCCCGCCGGGCTCTGGCACGGCCCACAGCCCGCCACGGCGTGGGGCAGAGCTCCCACCAGCCCTGCCGGACCCAGCGGCGCTGGCGTGGCCAGGCCGGGGGAGCCGCGGTGCCCCCACACCCCACATGTGCCAGGATGGATGGCACGAGCACCGCCGGCAGCCCCAGTGCCACGTCCCGCGCTCAAGGGATGCTCCCACAATGTCCCGCAAGATCAGAGGGAGGTCTGTGGGGTTGAAGGCCTGCTTTGGGGGCCGGGGGGTTGTTCTCGGCTCTCCCAGAGACTCCTTCTCTCCCTGCAGCTCTGCCAGAGCCAGCGCGGCGGCCGCGGGGCTGAGCCCGGCAGCGCGGGGCGTTCCGGCACCGCGGAGCTGGCACCGTTCCGTGCCCTACCCCCGGCATGGATCCGCCGCTCCGGCACACCGAGAGCGGAGCCTTCGTCTCCAGCGCGGAGCTGAGCATGAGGCGGGGGCCCGCGGCTGCCCCCGAGGGCAGGGCCCGCTTCCAGAAGGTCTCGCTGGTGCCGCGGCACCGGGAGAGCCCCGGCAGCGCTCGGGGCCGGGCCGGGAGCCCGTCCCGCGTGTCGCTCCTGCTGCAGGCCTGGGAGAGGGAGATCGTGGAGAAGAAGGCCTCCAGCCCCGCCGCCCCGGGTCACCGCGAGCACTCGTCCCCCGTCAGCCTCCGGAAGGACTTCACGGCGCACGGGCCCATCTTCTCGCAGGTCTATGCCCCGGCGCAGAGGCCCCGGCGCCAGGACGAGCGGGGAAAGGGGGGACCCGGCGGGGACGGCTGCCCCTCCCCGGCGGGTGCCCCCCGCGAGGTGCCCGTGCACCGGGAGAGTTACGTGCACGGCAGCCTCCTGCCCACCCGCCCCGCCGAGCGTCCCGCGGGGGCTCCCGGCGACGGGCCCGGTGCCCCGTGCGCCACCGGGCGCGCCCCTGCCTTGCCCAGGGCCAGGCAGGTCACCGTGCTGCGGACGGGCAGGGACGCGGCGGAGGGACGGGGGGCTCCAAATGGGACACACGACGCTGCCGGGGCCACCGCGGGCTCGCCGCGGCGGGACAGCCCCAGGCAGGACGGCGGCGGCTCTGCTGCGGCCACAGACACCGAGGGATCCCCCGAGGAGAAGGACTCGGCACAAGCCGAGCCCACGCCGGTGAAGGCAGCTCCGGGGGCCGGCGAGAGGCCCGGGGACCCGCAGAGCAGCCTGGCCAGCTCCCCGCAGCGTCCCTCGGCAGGCGCCGGTGGCCAGGCTGCTCCGGCTGGCACCGGCGAGGGAAGCGTGGCAGACGTGGATGGCACCGTTCCAGCCACGCCACCGAGGACAGAGAGCCCCCCGGGAGCTGGCGGCATCCCTGAGCACCAACCCCCGGAGGTGAGCGATGGTCCAGAGCCTGCACCCGAAACAGCAGCATCAGCAAAGGCTGAGATTGAGCCGGAGGGGGATGAGACGATGGGAGACCCCCAGGGCACAGCCCAAGAGCCTGAGAGCAGCCCAGAGCCCCCCAGCGAGCCCCCAGCCCCCGAGAGCCCCCCGGACGCGAGCGAGGAGGACCCCGAGCTGCTGGTGGACATGGAGATCTTCGTGGACACGCTGCGCAACATGGAGCCCTCGGAGATGCGGAAGGCGCCCAAGGCCCCGCGGCAGCCGCGGCCGTCGGCGCTGGGTCGCCGCGCGGCTCTGCCCCCCATCCACGAGGACCGCGTGGCCCCCCGCGCCCCCCTGGCCCTGCCCCTGCCCCTGGCCCTGCCCCAGGCCCTGCGGGAGCTGCTGGCGCGGCCCGAGGGGGCCCCCGAGGAAGAGGAGGAGATCGAGAACCCCTACCTGAGCCCCGAGGAGCGGGCGGCCGCCAGGACCCTCCGCGGGGTGCCCAGGGAAGGGTGGGCGGAGGAGGGCTCGCTCCTGGGGACACTGGGGGCAGATGACAACGCCAAACTGGTGGCCGGGGGCCCGGCCGAGCGGAGCGTGCCCTTCCGAGGGAACGTCCTCAAGGGCATGGCACTGCTCTCCCACTTTTTGGAGCAGCGGGCAGCTGGAGCTGACGAGGGCAAGCCCTACTCCCGCCTGGACAAGAGTGTGCTCTACAGCCGCTTCGTGTCCCCCGGCGCCGCCCTGCTCGAGCTGCCCGAGGGCGATGGGGGCTCCGAATTACCCTGCCCCAGGGACCACAATGGGCTGGGCCCTGGTGGCCATTCTGGCCCCGAGATGGCCATGCTGGAGGCCCTGAGTTCTGGCCCTGTCCCTCCTGTCACCGAGCAGCCAGAGAACACCGTGACCCTGAGCCTCGAGCACGTCCTGGTGAGTGAATCCAGCACTGGGGAGTGCTCTCCTTCCCCGGGGGTGTGAGAAGGGGATGGGGGCTGAACCTGGAGCATCCTTCCCTGTTCCCAGGGTATGGCTGCTGCTTCCCGGCAGAGAGGCCGTGGGTGGAGCGCAAGCACTGGGATGGGTGATGGGAGGGCACTGGGATGGGTGATGGGAGGGCACTGGGATGGGTGATGAGGGCACTGGGATGGGTGATGGGAGGTCAAGGGACGGGAGGGTGCCACCACGGCTGCTGGGAGGGTCCCGGGCAGGTGCCAGGAGGGTCGGGGGCAGACGATCTGATCCCCAGCAGTGCAGGAATGCTCGAGGTGTGGCTGCTCGGGGCGGTGGGAGGGGTGGCAGACGCCAGACGCGAGGCTGCGGCTGCGGCTCCCTTGGGCTGCAGGGAGATGGCTGCTGCAGCCGAGGTCCCCCCGTGCTCCTCACCCGCCCGTCCCCTCGGCTCTTCACAGCAGGAGGATAAGGAAGGCTTGGAGAAGATCAACACAAGACCTGGCAAGGTACAGGGAGGGCGGTGGGGCCGGGCTGGGCCGGCCGGCCGGTGCGGCAGCACTTCCCCGCCGCGTCACCCTTCGCAGATCATCCTCTACTCCGACGCCGGCTTCGCGGGGCACAAACGGGAGATCTGGGACGACGTCCCCGACGCCACGTCCTGGGAGCTCTCGCACACCATCTCCATCCGAGTCATCCGAGGCGGGTACGGAGGGGCCGCCGCGGCAGGGCTCGGCCGGCACTCGCGCCGGGGCTGTCGCGGCGCGGGGTTCGGGAGCGCCCGTCCCCACCCACGCCGTGCCCCGGGGGCACCCGCGGGGCTGCGGCCCACGCTGCATCTCCCCCGTTTTGCGCCGACCCCGCTCGCAGGTGGGTGATGTACGAGAAGCCGCGGTTCCGCGGGCGCAAGTGCGTCCTGGCCGAGGGGGACGTGGAGATCGACAACCCCTGGACGGCGTACGGGGACACCGGGGACACCGGGGACAGCGGGCACCGCGGGCAGCCCCGCGGGAGCCGCCCCTTCCGCATCGGCTCCTTCAAGAGGGTGGTGCGGGTGAGTGCAGGGAGCCCCGCAGCCGCAGCGCGCCCCGAGCAGAGGGGCCGAGCCCGAACGCCGCTGTTCCCGCAGGATTACCGCACGCCCGAGATCAGCCTCTTCGCCGGGGAGAACGGCCAGGGCGCCCGGCTCAGGTTCAGCGGCTCGGCCGAGGACACCCGCGAGCGGGGCCAGGCGCTGGCCGCCGCCTCCATCATCGTCCACTCGGGCCTGTGAGGGGACCCTGGGCCGGCGCTGCCGGGTGGGCTCCAGCACAGACCGGGCCAGGGTGTGACGCCTTTCCCCGTTCCACAGGTGGCTGCTTTACTCCAAGCCTTTCTTTGATGACGACCCCTACGTTCTGGAGCCGGGCGGGTACCCCAATTTAAAGGCTTGGGGAGCAAAGGATCCATCCATCTGCTCCATGCATCCCATCAGGCTGGTGAGTGTGCTTCCAGCGGTGCCGGGGCTGTATCCAGGTGTGAGGGAGTTCTGGCAGCTCCGGGTTGCCATCAGTGACATCACGGTGTGGGAACAGGCCAAGCGTGGCTTTGGAAAGTGCTCCTGTGGGTTAGGGATGAGAGAAAGCTTCAAAAGAGCTTCTTGAATGAAAACAAACCAAAAACCAGCTGAGGCTTTAAAAGGTGGCAGCAGATGTCCCTGCAATGCCCCCTCCTGCCATCACAGCCTCAGTGGGGCTCCTTCTCCTTCCAGGGCTGCCCCGTCGTGGAGAGACCTGGTGAGCCACAGGTGAGCTCTGCTGCAGCTCCCAGGAGCCACGGGCTGGGATGGCCCTGGGACCATCCTCACCCCACCTTGTCCCTTCCTCACCTTTCTCACCTGTCCCCAGGTGCTGATCTATGAAGCTGCAGCTTTCCAGGGCCGCAGCTTCACCATCAGCAGAGACATCTATGACCTAAAACGCCTGCCCGAGGCAGCGCTGCCCACCGTGGGCTCCCTGCGTGTCCTGGGTGGCTGGTGAGCGGCACGGGGAGGGCAGGGCTGGCATCCCAACTGGGAAGGTGATGGTCACCCCTGGAAAGGGCTGTGGAATGGCTGGGTGGGGGTCGCTTGGGAGAGAGGCTGTGGATGGTGTCCCCGTGCCCCAGCACGTGGAAATCCTCTGGAGTCCTCACTGCCCGTGTCTGCCTGTGCCACAGCTGGGTTGGCTACGAGAAGGAAGGTTTCCGTGGCCACCAGTACCTGCTGGAGGAAGGGGAGTACCAGGACTGGAGGCAGTGGGGCGGCTACAGCAAGGAGCTGGTGTCCCTGCGGCTGATCCGGACGGTGAGGGCAGGGATGGGACTGGCTTGGGAATGGACTTGGTGCGGGCAGAGAGAACCAGGCACCCTCACCCCATCCTCACCCCCAAAGGGTGTCAGGCAGCTGGGCATGGCCTGAGATCCCCCAAAATCACCCAAGCAAAGGTTTGGCAGCTGCTCCCACCCTCCCCGGGGTGCCCGAGGCCAGGCAGCTCCTTTCCCTGACAGACCGTGGGGCTTGGGGGGGCTCCTTCTCCCCGCAGGACTTCTCTGACCCAGCGCTGGTCCTGTTCGAGGCCATGGACTTCGAGGAGGGCGCGAGCGTGGAGCTGAGCGAGGCGCTCCCCGACACGCGGCTGGCCGGCTACGGCAGCGGCACGCAGTCCATGCACGTGCTGAGCGGCGTGTGAGTGCGGGGCGGGCCCGGGGGTGCCCGGGGGGGACCGGGGGGTGCCCGGGCCAGCACTCACCCCCTCCCCGCAGCTGGGTGGCCTACGAGGGCCCCAACTACTCTGGCGAGCAGTACATCCTGGAGAAGGGCGTGTACCGCAACTGCGAGGACTGGGGGGCCACCGACTGCCGCATCGCCTCGGCACAGCCCATCCTGCAGGTGAGGGGACAGCCCCTCCTCGCGGGACCCCCCGGGCCGTGGGTGCCACGGCCAGGCTCCCACCAGCCCCGCTCTGTTTGCTTCCAGGTCAGGCAACACAACCTGCACTTCGTCTCCAAGGTCAGGGCTGGTGCTGGGGAGGGGGACGCAGCCCCTTGTGGGGTGCTGGTGACGCTTTGCCCCTCACCGAGCCCTCTGCTCCCCTCGCCAGATCCTGCTTTTCTCAGAGCCCGACTTCTCGGGGAATCACGTCGCCTTTGAGGAGGACCAGGAGGCCCTGCCCGAAGCCTTCATCCCACGCTCCTGCAGAGTGCGTGGGGGCAGGTAGGGTGTCGGGGGTGCTGTGGGAGGGATGGATGTCCTGCGTGATGGCTTTGTCAGCGCAGGAATGCTCCTCCCCACCAGCTGGATCCTGTTCGATGGGCAGGACTTTGCCGGGGAGCAGCACGTGCTGTCCGAGGGCGAGTACCCCACACTCAGTGCCATGGGCTGCCTCTGCTCCACCGCCATCCGCTCCCTGAAGAGAGTTCCACTGGTGAGTTCCTTTCCTTTCCTTTCCTTTCCTTTCCTTTCCTTTCCTTTCCTTTCCTTTCCTTTCCTTTCCTTTCCTTTCCTTTCCTTTCCTTTCCTTTCCCTTCCCGATCCCCCCAGAACGTTTTTCCCCTCTCACGGGCACCCCCAGTTCTGGCTCTGCACCCCAGGAACCCTCAATTCCCCCCCTGTCCCTGACCCCACAGTTTTTCTCGGAGCCCTCCATCTTCCTGCACGGGCTGGAGTGTTTCGAGGGCAAGGAGATCGAGCTGAACTCCGAAGTGCGGAGTCTCCAGGCTGAGGGTTTCAACAACCACGTGCTGTCGGTGCGGGTCAAAGGAGGGATGTAAGTGAGTCCCCTGGCACCCGTGGGTGTCCCCCCTGCCCGCCCGGGGTGACCTGGCCTGTGCCACCCTGTCCCCACAGCTGGGTGCTGTGCGAGCACGGCGACTTCCGAGGGCGGCAGTGGCTGCTGGACTGCACCGAGATCACCAACTGGCTGACCTACAGCGGGCTCCAGCACGTGGGGTCCCTCTACCCCATCCGCCAGGTGAGGGTCACCCCTGGGAGGGGACAGGGCCGTGTCACCCAATGGGGCGAGCCCCAAACCCCAGGGCTCACATGGAGACAGAGCTGCCAGCCCTGGGCTGGGGGAGCTGGAGAGGAGCAGTGACAGCTCTGACACGGGAAAGGTGCCACCAGCTCGGCACGGTCACCCCAGATTCCTGTCCCCCACCCTGGGAGTGGCTGCCTTTGTGGCGAAATGCTCCCCGTGGGCAACTGCCTCGTAAAATCCACGGCGTGCCAGCGCGGTGAGCCGTGCCCGTGCCAGCTCCGAGGGACAGGTCACAGTCACAGCCATCGCCCTGGGGACACGTGGGGCTCTCCTGGGGGAAGGACAAGGGGGGAACACCCCAGGGTGCAGGACCCTCCCCTCCCAGAGCCCCAGCCGGGTGGGGAGTGCAGGCAGCCGGGTTTTTGGGTGCAAACACAGGTTCCTCTCTTGCAGAGACGCATCTATTTCCGCATCAGGAGCGGGGAGCTGGAGCTCTTCCTCTCGGTCCCCGACGACGTGGAGGACATGAAGGCGGGGCGGGTGGTGGTCTCCAGCCTGAGCGAGCAGAGCAGCTCCGTCTGGTACTACGAGGACGGGCTGATCAAAAACCAGGTCAGGGCTCAGCGGTGACAGCCAGCGCCACCGAGGGGAGCAGGGCAGGACTCCTGCTGGGCACTCCCCACCCCACAGCCATCTTCCAGGGTTTATAAAAGCTTCTCCCAGCCTCTGATCCCAGCCTTGTCCCCGGAGATCTGCGGATTCTCCTCCCCGAGTCTGCCCTGGAGATGGGAAGCCATCTCTGCCTTTCCTGAGGAGTTTCTGTCACCTTCATCAGCCCCACCTCTCGCCGAGGGGGTCTTCCTGCTCATCCCACATTCCACCAGATCCAGCTGCCCTACAGGGAATCCCCTCCCTCCGTGTCCTTGCAGGTGGCCCCCAACATGAGCCTGCAGGTCATCGGGCCGGCTGGGAAGGGCGCCAAGGCCGTGCTGTGGTCCGAGACGCGGGTGCCACGTCAGACCTGGAGCGTCGATTCCCAGGGACGGATCCGCAGCCAGATGTTCGAGGATATGGTCCTCGACGTCAAGGGTGAGGCCTCAGCCCTGGACAGAGGCTGCTTCCCCAGGGATGCCCAGAAATGGGGTGTTTCCATCAGGAGTGGGGTTTGCCCTCCCCAAACCTCCCCCTTGCTCTGCAGGCGGCCGAAGCTACGACCGGGACCATGCCATTGTCTGGGACATGGCTGATGAGCGACCCACGCAGATCTGGGACATCCAGGTGCTGTGAGGGGCAGAGGTGCCACGGGGCAGGACGGGGACACTCTGCCAACATCCCCACACAGGGGCAGGAGGCCTCAGACCCCACCCACGCTGCATCCCAAGCACCTCTCTGCCCCAGCTGCTGGTGTGAAGGATGACCACCAACCTCCCCATCACGGGGGAACCACCCCACCTCCCTCCCAAAGAGGCCTGAACATGGTCCATGAAGGATCCCATGGACACGGCCAGCGTGGGACACTCTGGAGAGCAGCGGGGCTCCTCCCCACAAGTGTCTGTTCCCCCTGAACTGTATTTATGTACCTGTGTAAGATACAGCCCTGCTTGTCTGGGCCAGCTCTGCCCGGGTGCTTGGTGTCCTTGTCCTGCCCGCAGCCTGGCAGCACCCCTGCCCCAGCCCTGATGCCGATGCCAGGATGGGATCCCGGTGCCCTCTAGTGCCCACGGGCACAGGCAGCTCCGTGGCCGCGTTCTCTGAGGAGGGAGGCGCCGGCCAAGCCGTGCCCGGGAGCTCCGGGGGCTGCGGGGCAGCTCCAGCCCACGGGACCCAGCTGTGGCCTCGGGGGTCCCTTCGTGGCACCGCGGGCTGAGCTCAGAGCCAGCAGCGGTGCCTGTCCCTGCTGCAGGGCTGCACCACGGCTCAGGGCACGCATCTTTCGGGTGCCCAGGACAGGTCTCACCCCACCCGGCTCCAGAGCAGGAGCTCCGGGGATGTGGCTTGGAGCCAGGGGAACACGGGGTGGGAAATGGAGACAAACTCGGTGCTCGCTGCTGGGGAGAGGACAGGGCTGCCAGCAGGAGCGTGCTCTGGTCGCTGCACGGAGCACTCACGGCCCTCGCAGGGAGCAGCGCTGACAGCCCGGCGATGCCGGGGGACATCAGGCGGCTCCAGCGGCTGGGCCGGCCGCGGCTTCCGGCAACAAACGCCCGTCTTTTACGTGTCTCCATTGCCCCAGGACCAGTCCGGGCAGGGGGACAGGCAGCCACACGGGGGACTTAGAGGTTAGGATCGGCCCGGCAGGAAGGGACGCTGAGGAAGGCGAAAGCCGCTCAATATTACAGAGCCCCCCTCACACAGACACACGACCGGAGCCGCGTCCGCCCCTCACAGGAAGCGGGGCGCCTGCGCTCAGCATTTATATTAACCCTGTCGGGCTGTGATTGGCTGAGGGCGGGAGGTGGCGGCGCCGGATTGGCAGGGAGCAGCAGCCCCTGCCGCGGGATTGGCTGGGGCTCCGCGCGGGCTGCCCCGCCCGAGCCTCCGGGGAACGCTGAGGGATCGCTCGGGAATCTCCGGAGCCGCTCGGGAATCTCCGGAACCGCTCGGGAGTTGCTCCGGGAGCGCTCCGGGATCCCCGGGAACCGCTC